CCAAAATATAGCAGCCATTGTATTAAAAACAAAGGACTATAGTCACACAACCCTCTCTTTTAAGTTATATTTGCATTTACATCTCTCTTTTTCAGGATCTTTTAAGGCTATGTTAGAATGAATCAGGTTAGCAGACTTACTTATCTCTAACTCCTTTCAAATATTTAGTGAAAGTTAAAAAAAAATTACATGTTAATTCAGATGTGCTGCAATGCTCTATGAGCCTGGTGGGTTTAGCATTAGTTTTAATTATAATATTAATAATAATTCAGTTAAAAACAGAGTGGGGGAGTTAGTAGATGGGGAGAGGGAAGTATTAGGTAGATGGCGAGAATATTTTGAGGAACTTTTAAATGTTCAGGAAGAAAGGGAGGCGGTAATTTCGTGCACTGGCCAGGGAGGTATACCATCTTTTAGGAGTGAAGAAGAGCAGAATGTAAGTGTGGGGGAGGTACATGAGGCATTACGTAGAATGAAAAGGGGTAAAGCAGCTGGAACTGATGGGATCATGACAAACGTTAAAAGCAGAGGGGGATATAGTGTTGGAGTGGTTGGTACTTTTGTTTAATAAATGTATGAAAGAGGGGAAGGTACCTAGGGATTGGCAGAGAGCATGTATAGTCCCTTTATATAAAGGGCAGGGGGACAAAAGAGATTGTAAAAATTATAGAGGAATAAGTTTACTGAGTATACCAGGAAAAGTGTACGGTAGGGTTATAATTGAAAGAATTAGAGGTAAGACAGAATGTAGGATTGCAGATGAGCAAGGTGGTTTCAGAGTGGGTAGGGGATGTGTAGATCAAGTGTTTACATTGAAACATATATGTGAACAGTATTTAGATAAAGGTAGGGAAGTTTTTATTTCATTTATGGATTTAGAAAAGGCATATGATAGAGTGGATAGGGGAGCAATGTGGCAGATGCTGCAAGTATATGGAATAGGTGGTAAGTTACTAAATGGTGTAGAGAGTTTTTATGAGGATAGTGAGGCTCAGGTTAAAGTGTGTAGAAGAGAGGGAGACTACTTCCCGGTAAAAGTAGGTCTTCGACAGGGATGTGTAATGTCACCATGGTTGTTTAATATATTTATAGATGGGGTTGTAAAAGAAGTAAATGCTAGGGTGTTCTGGAGAGGGGTGGGATTAAATTATAACAGTTACTTTTTGCTGATGATACTGTGATTATGGGTGATTCTAAAGAAAAATTGCAAAGGTTAGTGGATGAGTTTGGGAGTGTGTGTAAAGGTAGAAAGTTGAAAGTGAACATAGAAAAGAGTAAGGTGATGAGGGTATCAAATGATTTAGATAAAGAAAAATTGGATATTAAATTGGGGAGGAGGAGTATGGAAGAAGTGAATGTTTTCAGATACAGTGGACCCCCGCATAACGATTACCTCCGAATGTGACCAATTATGTAAGTGTATTTATGTAAGTGCGTTTGTATGTGTATGTTTGGGGGTCTGAAATGGACTAATCTACTTCACAATATTTCTTATGGGAACAAATTCGGTCAGTACTGGCACCTGAACATACTTCTGGAGTGAAAAAATATCGTTAACTGGGGGTCCACTGTACTTGGGAGTTGACGTGTCAGCGGAAGGATTTATGAAGGATGAGGTTAATCATAGAACTGATGAGGGAAAAAAGGTGAGTGGTGCATTGAGGTATATGTGGAGTCAAAAAACGTTATCTATGGAGGCAAAGAAGGGAATGTATGAAAGTATAGTAGTACCAATACTATTATATGGGTGTGAAGCTTGGGTTGTGAATGCAGCACCGAGGAGGCGGTTGGAGGCAGTGGAGATGTCCTGTCTAGGGGCAATGTGTGGTATAATTATTATGCAGAAAATTAGGAGTGTGGAAATTAGGTGGTGGTGTGGAGTTAACCCTTTCAGGGTCCGTCCCATAGATCTACGGCTTTACGTTCAGGGTCCAAACCGTAGATCTACGCCATGAGCTCAGCTCACTCTGATAAACTGTGAGTGGTACATTTGGGCCTAGATATGAGAGAATACATCTATGTGGTATGTGTGCACCACATAAAACAGATCCTGTGTATAATGAGAGAAAAAAAATGAAATCATGATTTTTCGATTAAAACAGCAACTTTGCAGTGTTTTTTCGTATGTTTTTTATAGTTGTATTTGCGATTTCTTGATCTCATTTGATAGAATGGAAGACATATTACAGAAATAGAGATGATTTTGATTGGTTTTAGCACTGGAAATGGCTTGAAACTGAGCTCAAAGTAGCAGAAATGTTAAATTTTTGCCGATATTCAAGAGTAAACAAACGACCTCACACGTCTAATACACGTCAGCTGGTGGGTCTAATATACATTCACAAATATGGTGATGATATTTATACAATTATTACAGTATTGCATAACAGTAAATCTTCTATTTTTTGGTGTGAATAAAAATTCATTATGTGAATAAAAAATCAAAATGGAATTTATTTGTAAAGCCTCAAAACATAACTAATGAACAGAGGAAATGTTAGTTTAGTGCCAGGAATGCCTACATTGTTCATTCTGGACCCTATTTTGAAATTGGAATATTTTGAACTTTGTGTTAAATTGGCCAAATTAACAATTTCCGATCACTTTATTTTGTAGTTGAAACAGGTGACTTGGCGATTTCTTGTGCTCAATCGATAGAATAGAAGTAATACTAGTGAAATAGCTATGAATTTGGTTGATTGGAATAATGTAATTGGCCTAAAATGGGAGTCAAAGTCGGCAAAATCGCCGATTCATAAATATTGCTGACACATCAAAATTCGCGAGAGCATAATTTCGTCAATTTTCCACCAAATTTCGTACTTTTTGTTTTATTACCTTCACAAAAAGATTCTCTACAATTTCATAAGAAAAAATAACATTTTTTTTTTTAAATTCTTGGACACTGGTGCGTGACTCCAGATTTGGGCCTTGGACCCTGAAAGGGTTAATAAAAGTATTAGTCAGAGGGCTGAAGAGGGGTTGTTGAGGTGGTTTGGTCATTTAGAGAGAATGGATCAAAGTAGAATGATGTGGAGAGCATTTAAATCTGTAGGAGAAGGAAGGCGGGGTAGGGGTCATCCTCGAAAAGGTTGGAAGGAAGGGGTAAGGGAGGTTTTGTGGGCAAGGGGCTTGGACTTCCAGCAGGCGTGCATGAGCATGTTCAATAGGAGTGAAAGGAGACGAATGGTATTTGGGACCTGATGATCTGTTGGAGTGTGAGCAGGGTAATATTTGGTGAAGGGATTCAGGGAAACCGGTTATTTTTATATAGCCAGACTTGAGTCCTAGAAATGGGAAGTACAATGCCTGCACTCTAAAGGAGGGGTTTCGAGATATTAGCAGTTTGGAGGGATATGTTGTGTATCTTTATACGTTTATGCTTCTAAACTGTTGTGTTCTGAGCACCTCTGCAAAAACAGTGATTATGTGTGTGAGGTGAAAGTGTTGAATGATGAAAGCATTTTCTTTTTGGGGATTTTCTTTCTTTTTGGGTCACCCTGCCTCAGTGGGAGACGGCCGACTTGTTGAGAGAAAAAAAAAAAAAAAATTCAGATGCTTAGATTACATAATCAAAGAATGCAAGATGGTGTGTGTAATGGTGCACATGAAAATAGGGTAGTCACTGGCCCTATAGGGGTTCCTGAGCATTTCATAGAACCAGTAATCCTGAATGTAGTACAGTGGACCCCCAGTTCGCGATGCTATCAGTATCCGATAAATCCAGTAACCGATGCATTATATCGCAGAAAATTTGCCTCGCTTCCCGATACAAAACCCGGTATGCGATGTGGTTCGTACGAGACGTGTCCATGTGTGGCCTGAACTGCCCCGTGTGTGCCAGTGTTTACAAGCCAGCCAGTGTGCGCGCATCTAAGGATACATTCGGTACATTCCATATTATCCATACTATCACTGTTTTTGGTGCCTGTTTTTGCAAAATAAGTCACCACGGGCCCCAAGAAAGCTCCCAGTGCCAACCCTTCGAGACCAAGGGTGCTAATGACTGTTGAAATGAAGAAAGAGATAATTGCAAAGTACAAAAGTGGAGTGCGTGTGTCGGAGCTGGTCAGGTTGTATAGTAAACCCCAATCAACCATCTCTACTATAGTGAGCAAGAAAACGGCAATCAAGGAAGCTGTTCTTGCAAAAGGTGCAACTGTGACTACGAAACAGCGACCGCAAGTGTTAGAAAATGTTGAGAGACTGTTATTGGTGTGGATAAATGAAAAACAGATAGCAGGAGATAGCATCTCTCAAGCAATCATTTGTGAAAAGGCTAGGCAGTTTCATGACGATTTGGTAAAAAAATTGCCTGCAACTAGTGGTGATGTGAGTGAATTTAAGGCCAGCAAAGGTTGGTTTGAAAGATTTAAGAATCGTAGTGGTATACATAGTGTGATTAGGCATGGTGAGGCTGCCAGTTATGTTGTGCAACAGAAGTCCAGTGACTCTCAACCTGGTCCTAGTGGCATTAAAAGAAGAAGGGAAGTAACCCCGGAAAAGGACTTGCTACCTCAAGTCCTAATGGAGGGGGATTCCCCTTCTAAATGCTAACACCATCCACACTCTCCCCTCCTCCCATCCCATCAATCATCACCAGATCTTCATTAAAGGTAAGTGTCAATTATTCTTTCGTTATTTATTGTTATTTGTTACTGTTGTTATTGTAATTACTATTCTATTGCATTAAACTTAATATTTCATGTGGTAAAAGTTTTTTTTTCATACTTTTGGGCGTCTTGCACGGATTAATTTGATTTCCATTATTTCTTATGGGGAAAATTGATTCGCTTTCCGATATTTTTGGTTTACGATGAGCTCTCAGGAACGGATTAGTATCGCGAACCGGGGGTCCACTGTATCTTGTCATTTGACTTAAATTGCCTTGAACCTGTCTTACCACCTTACATCTATATTAATGCAATATATAAAAACCAAAACCTCAACTACCCACTATTAAATACTGGGCCTCTGAATCAGGTTAGATAAGAGCAAAATCTGTGTATAGTATTTATTATATTGTGAATACAGAAGTGAAAGAGAGCACACACAGGCATCATACACATTAACACAACAACCTCAAAATTATGCCCTGTGGCAAATCCATTCCACAACAATTTTTGTTTTTGAAAAACAGTTTAAGGAACTGTTAACTAACATGTATTAAATGAATACATGAAACACCACCTGTGAATGGGCAACACAAATGTTGCTGCAACAGTAGGTGTGCCTTTGTAGACTGTTGTTCTAATGTTAATTGGCTTGTTCTCAATTATTATTTCTTTCATGTGAAATCATATAGGATTCTAATTGTTCAGTTTAATATTGTTCAACTACAGCAAAAATTTGTTCATTTCCAAGATACAAAAAACAGTTTGTGTTGAATTAACTGCAAATGAACACAAAAAGTTACCTGCAGTGGAGCCTCCTGCCTGTCTCATGAAGCACAGTATTTCATCAACATATTTATCATAGCTATATAAGAAGGGCAAACACTGATTTTTATTTTATTCTAAGACCGAAGGATTTTCTAAGAGCTACAAGCATGGGTAAAACCTGATGCGAAGGCGGGTAATTTACATGTGATCATCAGTACTTTACATCTACATTCCATTTCCCTGAATTTCAGTGTTTTGCACACTAAAACAAAGCTTCTCTTCACACAGTGCTTTGCATCAAGTTTCACCCAATAGAAAATATTACTGAAGAAATTAAAGTTTGAAAATAGAAGCAAATCAAATGTCTCCTCTTGGCTGTATCCAGAAGTTAAAATTAAGGTATATCATCTCCCAAGAAGGTACAGCAATCAGTCCTCCAAAAATTAGTTTTATGTACACTGAGGATTGAGCAAAGTGTCCTTTTTGACACAAACTCTGCTGATGACCTCTTTAAAAGTAAAAATCTGGGAAATGCCAAATGATATTGCTATGCATACACTTAGCATGCAGGGATGGCAAACACAGGAGGTTGTAGGTCTCTCTCTCCTATGACTGCTATGGAAGGAATTGATACAAGTTTGACAAACAGGTCAATTCTAATGATCTCCTTGCTAATCAAATAATAAGCCTCTGGACAAATCTACTATGATACATGTACATACATACATACCGTACATAATCAACTCATCATAATTCAATCACATTGAGGAGAAAAATTACCAATCACTTGTACATACTGTCAAAATATTTACAAATTATATTGTAAATGTTTCTATATCTATAATAATCATAATTCTCTCTCATCAAGAAAACTCAACACAAATATTTACAAACCCAGCTCCCTAAGACATGATTTACTGCTGGAGTTGCTTAAATCTTATGATAAAAATATTGTTCCAAATGCTGTGAAAGAGGGCACAACATATACCCCGAGATAAACCAGTCGAGACATGATCCAGGCATGCAAACCTCATTCAGTCGATTCATTATTTCCAATAATTTGTTCTTTGTATAAAACATAAATAATAGTGTGACTAACTAAATATTTTGGTCCCCTCCATCTATTTGGTCAGGTTTGGCATTATTGTTTGTGACATGATTAGCAATTTTGAACTCTGCCGAATGCTTCCTGCGACTCATATTTTCCTATAATGATAATAAGAGAATGAATCCACAGTTAATAATTCCTCATCCCATCACAAATGTTTACACAGCCTTGTTCATAAGTAAACTAAAAATACATGAAATGCTCACTTTCACAGCACTCGATTGTTCTGGAACTCTCATCTAGGGTCGAAGAAGAATAGAATCAGATAGGTATAATACATTTGGGATACTACAAAGAGCAAGAAAAGAATGAACAGATAGAAAGATACTTCCTTTGAAGTTCCAGCATGTGACAACAGTGTAGAAAATCTTGACTTTCATACAAGCACCCAATTTGTCAACATCTAGGGAATGATGAGGTACCAAGCAACACCACAACATCAGTCCCCTCCCCCTTCCCCCCCTCTGTAGTTGTTTCACTTACTTCCAGTATATGCCAGGCCAACTAGCATTGTGATCTCACCTTGGCAAAAATCTAACTTAATTCCATGCGGGTATTTCAGTAGCAGGTACCTTTCTTTTTCAGATCAACTTAACTAGTTGACTGATATGCTAGTTGACTGGTTGGACTGCTGGCTAGCTGGTCCCCTAGTGATGTTAAACTAGGGTTTTATTTAACTGGCGCTGGGTAAGTTGGGTTGATGGGTTGATGATGGTTGCTTGCCACCCAAGTACTGAAGACATCTCTGTGGAGAAAACAGGAATGACATCTCTATGAAAAATATAATGTCTCAACATTGAAAATGTTGCTTAAATTTTAATCCTGTGCTTGTAGGAAAAATACAGAAAGTGCAATTAAAATTTTCACAATAATATTCCTTACCATCACCGTTCAATATGCAGCAGCAAGCATTTGTAAAAAACAAAAACACTCAGGTGCACAAAACTGAGTGCTTACATAATTGATTACAATACTTTTAAGAATAATATTTAGTAAAATAATAACAACAATTTTAAAAATGGTACCATAATCATGGTTTGAATCTTTTAGACTATACCCATAGAAAGGGTTAACACCATCCACAGTCTCCCCTCCTCCCATCCTATCAATCATCACCAGATCTTCAATAAAGGTGAGTGTCATGTAACTGTGCATGTCTTCTTCAGTTTGTGTGTATTAAAATTAATATTTCATGTGGTAAAAAATTTTTTTTGTTCATACTTTGGGGTGTCAGGAACGGATTAATTTGATTTCCATTATTTCTTATGGGGAAAATTAATTCGCCTAACGATAATTTCGCCTAACGTTGAGCTCTCAGGAACGGATTAATAGTGTTAGGCAAGGGTCCACTGTATTCCATTCATTTTAGTGCTTGAAAGTGCTAAATAAGCTACCATGGCTCCAAAGAAAGCTCCTAGTGCCAAGCTTTTGGTAAAGAAGGTGAGAAATATGACTGAATTTAAGAAAAACATCATTGAACAACATGAAAGTGGCGTACGTGTGGGCGAACTGGCCAGGATGTATAACAAATCCCGTACAACCATATCTTCCATCATAGCGAAGAAAAAGGAAATCAAGGAAGCTGTTGTTGCAAAGGGGGTAAATATGCTGACAAAAATGAGATCACCAGTACTCGAAGATGTTGAGAAGTTATTATTGGTGTGGATAAACGAGAAACAATTAGCAGGAGATAGTCTTATGACGTCGCTTATTTGTGAAAAGGCTAGGCAGTTGCATGACGATTTGGTAAAGAAATTGCCTGCAACTAGTGGTGATGCGAGTGAATTTAAGGCCAGCAAAGGCTGGTTTGAGAGATTTAAGAAGCGTACTGGCATACACAGTGTGATAAGGCATGGTGAGGCTGCCAGTTCGGACCAAAAAGCGGCTGAAAAATATGTGCAGGAATTCAAGAAGTACATAGAGGCTGAAGGACTGAAACCTAATAAGTGTTCAGTTGTGGCAAAACAGGCCTCTTTTGGAAGAAAATGCCAAAGAGGACCTACATTACTCAGGAAGAAAAGGCACTGCCAGGACGCTCATGTTCTGTGTTAATGCTAGTGGGGATTTCAAAGTGAAGCCGTTACTAGTGTACCATTCTGAAAATCCCAGTGTGTTCAAGAAAAACAATGTTATGAAGAGTAAATTGTGTGTGTTTTGGAGATCTAATAATAAGGCATGGGTCACGAGGGACATTTTCGTTGAGTGGTTCAATGAAGTGTTTGGCCCTAGTGTGAAGAATTACCTCCTAGAAAAAAAATTGGATCTCAAGTGCCTCCTAGTAATGGACAATGCACCTGCTCATCCTCCAAACTTGGATGACCTAATTCTGAAGGAGTTTGGGTTCATCACAGTAAAGTTCTTGCTCCTGAATACTACTCCTCTCCTCCAGCCCATGGACCAGCAGGTCATTTCAAACTTTAAAAAACTCTACACCAAAGCAATGTTTGAAAGGTGCTTTAATGTGACCTCAGACACTCACTTGACCCTAAGAGATTTTTGGAAAGAACACTTCAGTATTCTCCACTGCATAAGCCTTATAGGTAAGGCTTGGGAGGGAGTGACTACCAGGACTTTGAACTCTGCTTGGAGAAAATTGTGGCCAGATTGTGTCCACAAGAGGGATTTTGAAGGGTTTGAGGCGGCCCCTGATGAGCCTATGTCAGTGAACTCCATTGTGGCACTGGGGAGTTCCATGGGGTTGGATGTGAGTTTGGAGGATGTGGAAGAGTTGGTGGAGGACCACAACGAAGAGCTAACCTCTGAGGAGCTGCAAGAGCTTCAGCAGGAGGAGCAACAGATTGCAGCTCAGAATCTTGCTGCAGAGGAGGAGGAAGAGAGATGGAAGAAGGTGCCTTCTTCAGAAATTAAGGCAATTTTTGAAATGTGGGGTAGGATGGAAAGATTTGTGGAGAAACATCACCCTGAGAAGGATGTTGCAAGCCATATCGGCAACTTGTACAGTGACAGTCTTGGCCCATTTTAGGGAAGTTTTAAAGAGACGCCAGAAGCAGAGCTCTCTGGACAGTTTTTTTGTGAGACAGAACTCCAGTGACTCTCAAGCTGGTCCTAGTGGCATTAAGAAACAGAGAAGAGAAGTAACCCCAGCAAAGCACTTGGTATCTGAGGTGTTGATGGAAGGGGATTACCCTTCCAAACAGTAATTCAATGTCTCTCCTCCTCCAGTCTTCCATACACTAAGAAGAACTGCCAATAAAGGTAAGTGTTATGCTGTTAATGTTTCATTCATCATTTCCCATTGTATTGTTTATGTACTACATCTATATTGCATGTAAAAAAAATTTTTGTTTTAATACTTCTGGGTGTCAGGAATGGATTAATTGTATTTACATTATTTCTTATGGGGAAAATTTATTCGAAAATTGTCTATTTCGATAATAGTCCCGCTTCCAGGAACAGATTAGGGACGATAATTGAGGGACCACTGTATTTCATCTGTGTTTACATGTTCAAAATATCTCCCTTTCTCATAATATTTCTCAATACTAGGCCTTACACTTGAGTCTTTGGGGCATATAATCAAGGGGTTGACCCCGGGCATCATCAGATTCTGCACGACACTACTCTCACCTCATCTCTATGGTTTTTATCCAATTTTCTCACTGCATATCTTATCACAAACAGAACTGTTATCCTATATGAACTAGCCAAAATGAATATTGGTGGTAACCTACTCAGTTGCACAATAGGTTACCTATCAAATAAAGTTGCCTCTGTTCTCTACATAAATGTCCCTAGGAGAGTGTTCTCAGTCTTATGATATTTAATGTACAGAATGAACTGCCTACCTTACATAGACACAGCTATAAGTTATGCTTATGCCATAATGATTCATGCAACAGGGCACAAGAAAATGAGTACCATTCTTAATTAATGGAGTTCAAACAATAGGTAATCAATTAGGGCTCAATATGTTAGTCCTGGATACTATCATAATAACATTAAAGCAACATGTCCCAACCATTTGTTTGCAAGATAAACTCATTAGTTATATTAAAAGTTTACAGATACCTTGGTGTATAGGTACTCTTTCAGTACATTTACTATACCACAACTGAGTAAGAAATGTAAAGATATGCTAAATGCTCCCAGAGCTATTGCTGGCTACAACTCCAACTATGATCCTGATGTAAGAACAATGAGAATTATGTAGCTACATAGCTTATATTAGATCCTTAATTGATTATACTACATCTATGATAAGTTTAGTTACCTGTAAAGGTATTAAGTTATAATTGAAGAATTAAGCTAGACTGGAGATAGGATAGCAGAGAACAAGCTTAGAAACGGTAGGGTGTGTGGACCAGGTTTTACTAGTGAAAATATAGTGAAGTATTTAGAATAAGGCTAAACAGTCTTTGTGGCATTAATGAATTGAGAAGGCATGACAGGGATAGGGGCAATGTGCAGATTTGCAAGTGTATGGTGTAGGAGGTAAAGTTACAAAGCAGTGAAGAGTGTTTTACGAGGATATGAGCTCAGTTAAGTAATTAGTAAAGCAGGGAAATTTTTCCACGTAAAATAGCCTTAGACATAAGATGTATGCACCGTGGTTTTATTATTTAGATGGTTTGTAAGAGAAGTAAATCAGTCTTGGCAAGAAGTCTGGAGTTAAAAGATGAAAGAATCACACAAAAGTGGGAGTTGTCCACAGCTCTCTCTGATGATCATGTGCTCTTTGGAGTTCTATAAGAAGTTGCAGAGATTGGATATTGAATTTGTGGTGTGCAAAGAAGAAATAAAGGTGATACAGGAAGTAGTAAGGTTCATGGGATAACTAACAAATTAGTGAGACAGATTGAATACAGATTGAGAGGCGAGATATGGAGCAGGTGAAACGTATCAGATACTTTGGAGCGGACGGTCAGCGACGGGTCTAAAAGATGAGTGATCATAGAATATGAGGGAAAAAAGTGAGTGTGCACTTAGGAGTCGTGGAGACAAAGAACTTTGTCCTTGGACGGCAAAGGGGTAATGATGAGAGTATCAGTTTTACAACGCTTTATATGGTTGAAGCGGGATGAATTGTTGCAAGGAGGAGAGCAGGCAGTGGAATGTAGTCTGAGGGCAATGTTGGTGTGAATAAATGCGAGAATTCGTATTTTGGAAGTTAGGGAGTCGGGATTACCAAAACGTTGTCCAGAGGTGAAGGAAGGGTTGTTGACAGGTGATCGGACATTGTAGAAAGAATGAGCGAAACAGAATGACTTCAAGAGTGTATCAGATCTGTAGTGGAAGGAAGCAGCGGGTTAGGGATGCCAGGAAGGTTGGAGAGGGGGTAAAGAGTTTTGTGCGGGCTGGACTCCAGCAGATGCGAGAGCGTGTTATTAGAGTGAATAGGGACAAATGGTTTTTAATAATTGACTGCTGTTGGAGTGTGAGCAAAGTAACATTTATGAAGGTTCAGGAAACCGGCAGGCCGGACTTTGAGTCTGAGATGGGAAGTAATGCCGCATCTGAAGGAGGGGTTAAGGCCAGATTAAAACTGTAGGTAAACACCTTCTGCCAACTGTGATGGAGTGAATGAGGTGAAAGTTTCTTTTGGGCCACCCTGCCTTGGTGGGAAATCGGCCGTGTGATAAAAAAAAAATATTAAAATAACACTGATGTTAAACTGTAAATATTACTTTATGAAACATCGCTTCAATTTGGAGCAATCCAAAACAAATTCAGAACAACTTATCTTAATAAGAAGGAATTTGTAAATTGAACTGATCAACGTGCTCA